TTTGTCCTTACAATAGTGGAGAAAGCCTTTACTGATTCATTTTTATACCTAAATTTCACATACCTTGAAATTTATGTAACTTGGTCTAGGTACGCTATGGGGACGTAATATTTTAAATTTATTAGTTTGGCGGTGAGACCTTTCATTTGACCCGAACATGGTCGATCAACTCGATTAACAATACAGACGGTTCCATTGTAAGTTATTTGATCTTTTGTTTGATTCTCGAAGCCAATACATTTAAACTTTTAGCTTTCTAATTAACCTCATACACTTCTTCCGTCAATATACACAAAGCTATTTCAACTAGTATTTCAGTTGATTTACAGGATTTCTCCGATAAATCCATGAAAAGATCAAAAATGTCTTCTATGGATATTTCTTCTTTCCTTCTTGTTATTTCGTTTATGAATGTATGACAAAAACAAACTATATTCAGTTCGAAAGGGGAGAAAATTTCCTATCGAATGGTAAAAATTTTCTTCCCGCAGCCGTGTCTATGAAAAAACGTAAGAGTCGATTATGTGTATTTTAGCTTGCATTTGATGTTTAATTAACCTAACAAGATTCATTGTATTAATGACTATCGTCTTTCGATTTCTATTATTTATTTATGCACACTGGGACGAAGCAGGTGGTTTATCAACATATCTACAAACTAGTAAGATGAGGCTCTTGTAATTATGCATTATCATCATTGGGTAGTCGCTTTACTGCGCATATCTTTTCAATAAGAAGACAAACAAAGAAAAAGAAGAAATACATGAGCAGTCAAATAATTATCACAAATCACTCTTTACATATTTGTTTGTACATACTTCTTTTCGATATTTTTCATCATAGCATACTTAACAAGAAACTCAAATGAATGATAGACAACCTTTATTAGACGCTTCCAGTAAACTATCTACTTAGGTCTGACTAAAAGTTCGTGCAACGCTTTTGGCAATCTTATAAGTCAATTAATATTGAAGAATCTTTTTGCATGAATAAATAGTGGAATATTTTGTCTATAATAATATATATAATAAATCTATTTTAGGTTTAGTTTATCTTTCAGATAAAATTCAATTCCTGCTAAAAAGAAATTTTTGAAAAGTGGATAATGAATTCAATCGATACTATATTAAAATTCGAACTATTTTGTGAATAGACCCAAAGACAATTCACGAAGAACTTGCAACAGCTCTGAGACCCAATGCTCCAGCATATCGAACAGTTGCAAAGTGAGCAAAGCATTCCCATGAAGGGAGAGAAGACGTCAATGATGAACCTCGATTTAGTCGTGAAGTATCCGAACTTACAGATGAAAATATTGAATTGGTACGACAGGTTATCAACAATGTTTCATATTCAACTTATGATGATCTTATAGCTGAGACTTCTCTCTCTCTCATGGTACAAGAGAACGAATTATCCATGATTGTCTCAAGATGAAAAAAGTTACATCACGTTGGGTGCCCCATCAACTGCCTGATGAATAAAAGCAAAAACGAGTTAACATTCGTCGTCAAAATTTGGCGAAATTTCGTGATAGTTCCTGACGATTATGTAATATTATAACAAGTGATGAGACGTGGATTTATCATAGACAGATTGGTCACAAGTCAATAAATGCAAGCTAGGTTAGCGAAGATGAATCACCAACAACTATTGTTCGTCGAAGTAAATATGAACCAAAAAATTTATCTTGTATATTCTTTAAATCAAATGATCCTGTTCTTATACATGCTGTTGATAATGAGAAGACTATAGATCATGACTATTATATATAAAATTGCCTCAAGCCTGTTGTTAAAGAAGTATGGAAACAAAGAAAGTCAACAAGTACAAAAGGTATAAAATTTCTTCAAGACAATGCTCGACCTCATACTCATTCCGATGTTATTAATTATTTAATAAAAGCAGGTATCATTATAATGCCGCATCCACCATATTCTCCTGACCTTGCACCATGTGTTTATTGGCTAAATGATTACATCAAGAGTAATCTAACTGACCAACCAAATGAAAAATCATTGGCTCGTGCGGTATCCAAGGTGATGAAAAATATTTCAAAACAAGAATTTAAAAAACTTTTTACAAACTATTAGATAGGATGAAACTTTGTAGAAATAATCATGGTGACTATTTTGAACATTTAATAAAATAAAACGTGAACTTTCTCTTTCTCTTTATATTTTTTTAACGATACACGAACTTTTGGTCAGACCTAAGTAGCACCAGAATATTAATCACAACATATGCTCTTCTCATTGATATATGGTTCAATAGGGGTTGGCGAAGAAACGTACTAGTGGAAGGATTTGACCTCTTATACGCCTCCTCCTTTCTTCGATTTTTTTAAAATATCTATTACTAATTGGAGCGATGTGTCAAACATTTTTTGCGAATGTATTCATTCATTATACGCCATTCATTTTCAATTTTCTCGATACATCATGAAATTGCGTATCCCCTCCTACTGGCTCTGTATGATTGCAAAATAATTATGCACGAATCGTGAAACCAATACCTCATGCTGTTTTATGACCTTCTAAATTCAATACAAAACATTAAAAGTCTTTTCTGTTTTCGTAGTTAACAGGCATTTAAAATAAAATCTGCAATTAAATCTGAAAGATTCTAGATATACACACATTCATATATAGTTAAAACAGTTCTTAGCAATTCTGTCGCGATTTTCACTAAGTTTGGAAAAAGTTACAAAAATCAAGTACGGAATTTCATGCATTTCAGCATCAATTTTAGCAAGAGAGCTTAAACTACTGGAAATTAAAAATTTGGTTACATCTATTTGTGATAAAAATTTCAATCTTCTATATCAAGAAAAAGCATGAAAAATGTCATTGACAATATATCGTCAGTTATAATGGGACACCTTTTATATTTTTGAGTCTGATACTGCAAAATGTTTCCTAAACGTAGCAAACTTCAGTTCACAAAATGGCATTTTTACTCAGTATACAAATGTGAGTATTCATTTAATGTGTCTGCAAAAAAAAACTCGTTTTCAATAAGCAAGTAAAAAAAAGCATTCTAGCACGTTTGTGAAGAACTTGTTTTTTCAGCAAAAGAACGTTAATAACCTATGCAAAAAAGCTGATGCAAAAAATTAATTCGAAACCACATAAAACTATATAGATTTAATCGATTATAATGAAAAAGTAATCCAAAATATCGAAATTTGATTTGTTATTCTGATTACTCTTGTTTAAAATTGACTTCATGATCATGATGAAATAGCTTATAAATTAATGTAAAACAAATAAAACTGGATCAAAATTCTATCAGTTGTAATCACAATAAATTGATTAAAAATGATTCTTTTACATAATTTTAAATCGAACTTAATCAACAATAATCGGAATAATGGATGAGGTTTCGATATCTTTGATAATAATCAATTGAAGATAGATGATTTTATTTAATTAGAAATCCAGTGTTTTGTGGTTTTTATGTAAAAGTTTTTACATGATAACTAAGTCGCTTTTGAATGCATGAAAACTAAACATGTCTGAACGCACGAAAGAAAACGTGTCCGAACGACTTTTTCAATGATATTGTTTCGACATAACAGATGCTTTTCTCATAGACACATCTAAACGATGGTTTTTGATGACCTTAAAAAGATGCATTTGTACACGTTACAACAAAAAATAATGTGTTTAAACATAAAAACAGCGTTTTTTTCTGAAAGTTGGCGTTGGAACACCTTTTTTTGTACAAATTACGCTTTCATGGATATCATCTTTCAATTTACATTTCTAAGCAAATTTACTTGATTTGTTTCTATTCGAATTTTATTTATTTGTGTGCACTAGACGAGAACGAAACACGTGCTTTACCTATATACCTAAAAACAAAATTGGCGGTACTCTTACAACTATGCTCCATCATCATTGGATAGTCGCCTGACTGCGCACATTTCATCGCCTGTCAAATAAACGAACGAAAAAAAAGAAACGCATGAGCAGTCAAACAATTATCACGAAATACTTTTTACATATTTATTTGTACATACTTCTTTTCGATATTTTTCATCATAGCATACTTAATAAGAAACTCAAATGAATGATAGGCAACCTTTATTAAATACCACCAATAAATTATCGATTGGTGACGATGATACTAATAATGGAAGTAAGAAACAACTTTTGATAAATAGGTATGATCTAATAAAAAACTGACTTCAAGAAAAATACAATGAATTTGTCATTGTTCATAGTTTTTCTGATTGGCGCCGATGTTTCAATAGAAAAGACAGCGAGAATCAATACATAGAACTAGATGATGACACTGAACATAATGACAAAGATAAACCAGTTGGTGTTTTTCGTTTAGTAAGTGTGTTCAGAAGAAATCCAAACTGATTAATGTATTTGATTTTATTATAGTTTCGATTTGCAAACCGTATCGATTTTCTTCTGATGTTTATTGCTATGAGTTTGATGTTGGTGCAAACGGCTTGCATTTTGGTTAATCAAATTCTTGTCGGTCGGCTCACAGGGTTATTTGCTATTTTGTCATTTGGTGATGATTGTGATCATGAACAGCAAAATTTTACAGCTCCAATAAAGACCAATAATAGATATTCTCATGGCATCAACCTCAATATATTCAACAATGCTCTGCCACATAAGTAAGTAACTAAAAACTATTGTTAGTTACTATGGATTTCTTCTATTTTCCTTTGGTAATTTTTCACTGTAGACTATACTATAATAGTCCTCTAATTTTATCATCAACTTTATCTACATCAATGTCTTCATTTCGAGAACAAGTTATGAAAATAATTTGCTGGTTATTCAGTAAGTAATATGAACATTATCATCTGATTATAAAAAATAATGGATATTGTCTTTTTTTCTTGTCCATATAGTTGTCGGCACCATCGAATATCTGGCTGACTTTATTAAAAATTTCATTTGGAGCATTAGTATGAAACGACAGATATATCGTATGAGTGTTTCCCTCTTCCAATCACTTGTTCAACGTGTAAGTCAAATACACTTCCATTTACAAAAAGGAGCTCCAAAGGTTAATTCTAGTCTTATCTTAGTGTTTCGTTAAATTTACAACATTTTATACTCTTTCTTTTTACTAAATTTTCATCATCCATAGCTTAGCAATTCCAGAAAACCCACGAAAGAAGCTAAAGTATCTAGATACAGATTGTATATGCTAGGAGATATCGATATTTCTACGACTTCTAGATCTGAAAAGAAGGATTCAAAGTAACACTACAAGGGTGGATGTGCATATGGATTGAGAGAAGACCAACACCCATACTCAAACTCACAGCCACACCCAAAAAATTCAAACGCACGATTTTTCGGAAACTCTGTGGATTTATAAGAATATCCGGCAAATAGATATGTTAAAAACCCAATAGTTCTGCCAAGTCTCAATACGAACTGATATCCTTTCGATATTTTCACTAGAATGCTACTTAGTATCTATAGGAAAACAAAAATTGAAATCAAAAGAGATATCTGAGGAAGTTCCATTATTAAATCGTTGTTATACTAGAACTTGATATGTGATGGGTACAGTCGAAGTAGAGTTAGCGTTAGCTTATATCAAAGTTTAAGTGGTATTGGACTTAATAGGATTTTTATAAATCACGATTAGATTTTTGTTGGCTTGGTAACTTATTGAGTGAAAATAGAAAACTCTGAGAATTTAAACACTCATTATCGAAGCAAATGCAAAAGAGTTCAACTTTTCAAAACAAGATCCAATACACTGAACAAAAGTGCACTACGGAGCCTATGAGGTTTTATGGAACTTTACTGTACTTTATAAGGTATCGGACAAATCGAGAAAACCTTGAGAAAGTTTCGCAATCTAATAGGTTTATTATAAAAACCATTACTGACTTTCCTAATCGAAAAGGTTTCGTAGTATACCTTCTAAATGTATTGCAGTGAAAATGTTTCGCACTAGACTAATCGTTTTTCTTGTCTGAATCATAATACGAACACATGTCCACCAATCTTAAACTCGACTACTTCATACTTTCTTATAAGAAGTTTATTGCTCGTCAATAGATAATGCTTCACTTATGCAGCAATCACATCTTCTTCGCTGAATCCTAGAACGTTTTAGCATTTTATCGAAAGAAACATAGTATTCGAGATGTACCATATTTTTAACGCAACTTAATTAACGTAAATCTTAGTTAACTTTACCTAACGATTAATATTAATAGAAACAGACAGACGACAAGCATTACTTAATGCGTTAATATTAACGATTAACGAGTCAATTAGGTATTAATACTTCTCTTTCCTCATTATTTGTGTTGAATCAAATGCATTCAAATTGCATGAAATTTTTAGGATATGCTGCGCCTGTAGCGGAGGGACTATGGTGAAATTTTCACTTCTGTACCATAAGGTTTTCAGGAGATAACCATCACACAAGGATTCACAATAGCTCATTTAGTCGCTCAAAATTCTCTCTATCCCTTCATTCTATATGATTTATGGTTTTTTGTTTAAAAGAGCATGTCAGAATGCAGCGCCTATTGAACATCTCTTTTTAAATTGTTACTTTTTTTAAGGAAGGAAAGAATGAGAATTGCGATACTCAAAAAAACTCTTCAATAATGGTTAAAAGATTGCTAAATTTGTGGAGAGTTTTTTGGGCTATCGAATTATTATTCTTTTCCTTCTCAAAAAAGTAGGAATAAAAAAAAGCTGGTTGCGACAGACGCTGCATCCAGATATGTTCTTTCAAACAAAATAAATTGAATATATAGAATGAAGACCTAGAGTGGATTTTTGGAGATCAAATGAACTATTTTGATTCTTGTTTAATGCATATCTCCCGAAAATCTCATGGTATAGGGCTGAAAATTTCAGCATAGCCCCTCCACTACAACCAAAACATATCTTAAAACTTTTTCCTGAAAAAACTGCATTTTTATACTGAGTATGCGAGAAATCATCGACAGTTTTGGTCAAAAACGTGTCATTAGATTAAAAACTATAGTGTTTCTGAAGGAGCAGAAGACGGACTGTCTTTTTATACATTTACCTCAATTTCCATTTTTTTGACGAAAATTGACTTTTTTCGAGGGAGGTGGCCTTAAGAGGCTAAGTGACTAGAGTGAAGGTAATACTAGTCCATTTAATTTTTCTCGGCGAGAGAGGTCCATTGTGTGAAAATAACGATTTTTTTTACAAAACTTGACTAAAGGTTTTCAGAATTGAGAAACCCTAAACTCTACGATTTTTCGAAATTCTGAAGTTGCGTTTTATCAGACCACACAGCCTGAGATTTTTATGCTGTCAGTTAAGTTTTATATAAAAAAAAAAGAAAATGCTATTTTCATCAATGCACCTTCTCTGACTGAAAAAAATTGATTGGAATACTATTACCGTCACGTAAACCATTTATTCACTTAGTTTTAAGTAAATTATATGTTAACAGAAAAAACTTGAACTTATCATTAACGGTTAGTTGACCTGCTGACCGTTAATAATAACGAATAATGTGATGCCACTCACCTATTTGTTATTGATATTCATGACAAAATGATTAGTCAATGTGTAATATAAAGTTAATGCAAATGGTTCACCTCTTTCTATGAGGTCTCGTTCTTGATACAAAGACATAAGTAGAGATATAGGATGATAGACATAAATTTAGAGGAATAAATTAGCAGGGTAAACTAATGAGATAGATTGAGCAGTTATATTAGGGAATTAGATTAGAAGAATCTATGAAGGAGACAGAGGTAGGAAGTTATATTTAAAAGAAGAGGCGTATTAGACATTGAGATAGGTATAGATGAAGTAGTATAGGGTTAGTGGGATTGCATTGAAATTGGTATGAAATTTTTACTACAAAACTCTTTTTGAAACGAAGTCAATATGATTTTGTACCAAACTTAAAATAGGTGTCGATTTGAAAGCATAATTCGGAACCCTTTTCTAAAGTTCCGTTTGGTATCTTTTTTTCAGTGTAGAACATGAATATGTATTATCAGAGTTGTAGTAGGATTTTCAACAAAAACATAAAGTTGGAATTGAATTGGAATTTCGAAAATATAGATGAAGCCAAATTTTGGCAATAAGAGTACAATTAGAGTGACATTCAGTCGAATCTGGTCATCTCTGACTGTTTCTCTCTCTCTGATTTTAGAATATTCCTTATATGGATTCCAAACATACTGGCCAATTCAACGTTAAGCTATTTGAGTAAGTTATTCTGACATTGTGTATCCAATCACTATATCTCATTCAACTTTTGTATAGTAACATTGCAAAGATCGACAAAGGCATCGGTTTGGAATTGTTAGTATTAATGGCAATGATACTCTGCATCATTGTTTGTTTTACAGCATCGTTGGCTGTTAACTGGCAATTGACTTTGACCATGCTATGCTTGGTACCTTTAATCATTGGTAGTTCCTTTGTGTTTTCTAAAGTATG